TGATGCCTGGCACAAGGCTCTGTACACATCCCAGACAGGATCAGGGGAGAGAGATACTGATCATAACTCTTGGCTCTAAGAAAAGCCATGTTCATGGAGAATGTTGAAAACGTCTGCAATCACCAGCCTACAGCCTACTTCTGGCTGTAAAGCTGACAGGCCAAGCCCCTGGTCACACTGGGTCCAAGTACCCAGGACACAGCCTATCTGTTATCCTTACGGAACTGAGCCCATCATGTTGGTAGCATGATGCTATCCCTCTCATGATCACAGGTAGTAAAAAACAAAGCCCTGTTTCTTGGGCTCCAGAAATAAATCAAGACTTTTTTCCTTGTAAGTTTCCACAGCCTAGTAAAACTAGGATAATAATTTAGAAAGAACTAGATATACCCTGATAAGCCTCCAAACAAGGAGACAGTATTTTTATACTTTAAGATCACTGTTATAGGACACTATTTTTCTTGGAAAAATCATGTATATAGTTGACACTGTTTTACTTTTAAAAATCAAGTATATATTTGATGCTAAAATTTTGTTTCAAAAGCAAAACTGAAATAAAGCATTAGAAAAGGAACCCAAAAGGTAAACATATGCAAATGTATTTCCCCTGAGTCCTCAGATGTCCTTGGAAAAGTTACTTGATCCTTACAGGCCTCTGCCTCTTAAAATTCTATATTCAAGGTAGCACACAGTCCAGCCACATTTTCTATCACGACAAAAGGTCCAGTATCTGCACTCGCTGCTGGGGCGACACTGGCCACACACAGCTACTGAGAATTTGAAAGTGGCTCGTGTGAGTGACGAGTGGGATTTTATGTGTTGATTTTGTTCAGGTTTAGAAGTCCGTACACAGCAGTTACTTTCCTTGTTGCCGGCAGAGCACCTGGTTGGGAGGAAAGGCTTGGTGTAGCTAATGGTTTTCAGAGGCTTCCGTCCACTAAAGCTGAGGGGGCATGGCAGCAGGAGCAGCTGGATTTGCAGCAGAGGGGAGTGAAGCGGTGTGATTCATACAGTGCTGATAACATCCAAAGGCCTGGCCCCAGGAACCTGCTTCCATCAGCCGGGCCACTTCATTCAAAATGCCAGCCTGTGCACGCTTCAGATTCAAACCATAGCTCCATACATGCTCAGTGGTCATGTACTGAACTAGTTGAAGGGGGTCCTTTCCCAAAGAAACGGGAAGAAACATAGAGGTATGCACCCATGGGCACTTCAAGCTGAGAAGACAAGGGGGCTCCTGTGGGGCCTGGGAAACTCACAGCTGCTTTATGATCATCAGGGCTGTGCATGCATGTGTGTATGTGTGCATTCATGCATGTGTGCATGCATGCATGTGTGTGTATGTTCATATAGTCTCAGGTGTGTGTGTGTGCGCGCGTGCACGTGCGCGTGTCTGTGTGTGTGTGTGTGTGTGTGTGTGTGTGTGTGTGTGTGTGTGTGGGCATACACACGTATGCATGAACAGATGGAGACCAGAAGACAATCTGTAGTTGCCGTTCCTCAGCTATCGGCTGTCTTGTTCTAGTTTTTGAGACAGGCTCTCTTGATGCCTTGGAACTCACCAAGTGACTAGGCTGGCTAGCTGGTGAACCTTGGGGACCTGCCTAGCTCTACCTCCCCAGCACTGGGATTACAAACCTATGCTGCCATGCCCGTTTTTCCAAATGGAACTCAGATCCTAGCAAGCACTTTGCTACCTATGTTGTGTCTGCCTACCTAGAAGGGCTTCTTAGAATCCAAAGGAGACCGGAGTAGAAAAGAGAATGCCCTCAGGTACAGGGAACAGCAGCCAGAACTCAGCCAAGAGAACAGAGCGGCCTCTTCCATGCGGCCTTGGCTTTCCTGGATGTTCTTGGTCTCACTCCAGACAGCTGCAGACACCAACGACTCAGCAGCTGGGGAGAACTCAGTCCAGTTAGATAAGAGTGCTGGCTGCCTGCCGCCAATCAATCAGGGAGCTTTTAAGATGGAAGTGTATGAAATATGTATTAAATTTAAAAAAAAAAGAAAGATTGAATGCAATGAAGTTTGCAACTTAGAAACACTCCAGAGAGGAGAGCCCAGCCTCTCTCACAAGGACTGCTTGGAAGCCTCACCCCAGGTAGACTGACACACATCTACCTAAGGGGTCAGTCAGGCCCTCCGGGTGATACCCCTTTTGTGGGGGAGGGGTGGGAAAGGTCGGAAATTTGGTACTCATTTAGACTCCCCCTGAGTGAATTTCCTTTCTGTAAGAAGCAAGAAAAACACTCACTTGTGCCATTGTGTTTCGTACAATCACGTGCCTTCAAACTGCCATATTCGAACTCTTTTAGGAGGCTCTGCAGAGCAAGGTGACCGTGCTTAACATAACCTTGTAGGCTTCGGTTTCATACAGGCCAGCAAAAAACATGGAGCTGTGTAATGCTATACGGCTCCAGGACTTGCGCAGATTGAGTCTCAATTAAAATGTTTGTTTACTTATCTGTTAATCTCATTATTTTCTTTAAATTTGCTTCTCAGTGAGAGTTCAGAATCCACTGCTCAACCATTTCTGAAATATGACCAAAATGGAAACCTGGAGAAAGAGAACGCCATTCAGCTGGGGAATGGAATACACAGAGGCCCAAACGAATGTCTTCAAGTACCTCTTCCCTAATAGCAAACCATTTTCTACAGAGAATGCACAAAGGAGTAACTTTTTAGAATTTTACTAGTGATTTTATCATGGTAAAGTAAGCCACAATCCCAAAGAGAATTCTCCCTGTTATTGCTAGAAATGCATAGAGCCTGTATTTATTTTCAGCAGAGTTTGGTATCATTTTTATTATTGCTCTTCACAAAAAGCAAAACAGAAACCACCTGAGCCTCTAAGAGGTAGATCAGATTTTATCTCCCCCTTCCCCTTTCCAAAAGCAGAAACCACACAGAGTGATTTGCTCTGGGGTCAGGCAGCCTGTTAGTGGCTGGGCTGGGGATAGAGGTTCTGGTCTCTCGTTGTCTATTCTACTGAATTGTCCCTGGAGTTGGGTCCTCAAGCCCTCCCTGGAGACAGCCGGGAGGCAGTATGTACCTGGTAACTATGCCGACAGACAGCCTTTCTCCCTAATACTCCCAGTTGCACCAGGTGGAGTCCCTGTGGCTCTGGCTGCCTCGACACCACTGGGACTTGAAAGGAGGTCCTTCTGGTCCCATTGTAACTAAAACCCCTTGGATGGAGTCCAAGATCCTTCTTGTTCTGAAGCGTCTTCTATAACAAATAAGCCACATTATGTTTGCTGTGATCTGGTCATGTTCCTTGGGCTAGTGTCTTCCCCAGGACACTGAGAATAGCTCTCTTGTGTCTGTCAGAATATATATGTAGTTGAGAGTTGTGAGCCTCAGGGCCAGCTTCACACTGTGCTCATGATGGTTAGAGCAGGGCCACTCGTCAACAGGCCCTGCCAGTGGGTAGAGGGGACATCTTCAGAAGGGTTCCTCAGTGGCAGGTACTGGAGAGAGAGAGCACAGCTGCCCCAGAGTGGGGGGTGTGCGAAGCAAGAACAGGAAATCAAAGGCAACGAGAAAACTCAAGCTAAGAGGTGAGCTGTGCCTCACACTTCTGAGCTGGCGTATGACACACGTCACTCATCCAGAACTGGTTACAGCGATGCTACACAGAGAGCCCTGTAGGTGCCAGCTGCACTGGAAGCAGCCAGCAGAGACTCATCTGTCAAGACGATGTGAGAAGCACCACACATTACATTTCCCTCTTCAGAATCATGGAGGCATGTCAGTGGCCATGCAGAGGTACCCAGTACAGAGCCCTGGCCTCAATGTAGCGCATCCCTGGGCACACAGGGAAGAAGAGGGCTATGGAGACAATAATCATAGGTGCCTTCTGCCATTCGATGTGTGATTTCCCTTTGATAAATGTATCTCATTTGATAACAAATACCGTTGACATGAAATGTTTATATCGTTTCGGGAGTCCCCAGAGACCTCTCAGCCACCATCTCCATTAGCTCCTGCTCTGTCCGGAGTCCTCCCAAAACTTGTGCAGTGTTTCTGGGGTCAGTGGGACTGAGGTCACTCCCACCCAAAGAAGTCCCTGCATTCTGATCCTTTATAAGCAATGTGATTTCTATGGTCTGAATATCTGCCTATGTCTGAAAAGGAATTCACGTTTATATGTCCTAAAATCCCAAGGCAGGGAGATGAGACCTTGAAGATTTTGGGTAGTGATTGGAACATAAGGATGGTGATCTCATAATTCAGATTAATGCCCATGGGTTATTTTACATAAATTTATTGTGCATGTGTATGAGAGAGAGAGAGAGAGAGAGAGAGAGAGAGAGAGAGAGAGAGAGAGAGAGAGAGAGAGAGAGAGAGAGAGAGAGAGAGAGAGACTCGTCTTCAGTCCCAGCACTCAAGAGGCAGAGGCAGAGGCAGGCAGATCTCTGTGAATTGGATGCTAGCCTGGTAGATAGCTGATGGGCTGGAGAGATGGCTCAGTGGTTAAGCGCATTGAATGCAATTTCAGAGGTCCTGAGTTCAATTCCCAGAAACCACATGGTGGCTCACAACCATCTGTAATGAGATCTGGTGCCCTCTTCTGTCATGCAAACCTACATAATAAATAAATAAGTCTTTTTAAAAAAGATAGCTGACATAGTTCAGTGGTTTATCACTTTTAGCACTTGCCTGGCATGAACAAGGTTCTAGGTCCAACCCCCAGTGCTGTAAGAGAAGGAAAAAACGAGAAGGAGGCAAGCAGGAAGAGAAGAAAGAACTGAGTCTCCTGAGCTGCCTAGCCATCCTGCAGGAAGGCCACAGTGAGAAGATGCCTCTGGGGACCGGATACAAGGGTACCAGGTGGGTATCTACTGGAGTCGCCAGAACCATGAGAAATAGATTGTTATTATTTTTTATGACATTTTGATTCTACAGACCAAATCAAGGATTTTTTTGTTTAATTCCTGTTTTATCAAAAAGACTGGTCTTTATGAACACGATGCTAAGAGAATTCCTGAGCCAGGTTCTCATCTGTATGAGATGTTTATTTCCTGTTCCCTTCCAAGTTCCCAGTCCTCCACCTCTGCTTCCCAGGACCATATGCCATCCCTTCTCAGTGACCCCCTTTAATCCCCTAAAGTAATCCATCTGGTCTTGCTAGTGTTGAACCCTCTCCTCCCAGTCTCTCGAGCACTCTCTCTCGCTCTTCCCCCTCCTCTGACACCCAACAGTTTTCATCACTTCCCCATTTCAGTCTTGGACACCATCCTCCTTCCAGTCCTGTCCCTAAGTGCAGACAACTCCGCAGTTCACGCTGGAATGCTGGGGAACTGAGGCTTGGATTCCTTACCTGTCTGTCCGCACCTCTTCATTGTGCCTTAGTTAATTAGAAATGGAGATTGTCCTTGACTCCTGCTTCCATGCCATTGGACGATCCTCTTAGTCAACAAATGCTCATCTACTTGATCTTGACAAGGTACTACGATGGCTCAAATAGGCCTCCTTGGGAACGCTCCAGTCAGTGCCCTTGGTGCACTGAGAGCCTTGGTGTGGAATGGAAAAGCCAAGCAGGAGGGAGCAAAGAGCAGGGGACGGGACAGTGAGAGGTATTTGTTTTCTTCACAGCTCCATAGTGGGGATGGGTCTCCAGGAATCTCATACGAGTCACCAGTGAACTCCTCCATTATCAACACTCACTCTCTTGCTTGGTTTGTGTCTCGGTTTTAGTTCTTGGCGTCATTCACTTCAAATTAAACTGCTGACCCAAAGGACAGTTTTCTCTGTCACAAAAGACAGTTTCGAATTATTGATAAGCAACTGGTGGTGACTGGGAGGAAAGAAGAGATGGGTGGTAAGACAGAGAGATGATCAGTTGAGGGGGTCTGGGAATTAGACATGCATAGCAGAGCCAAAGAGGTCATCCTGAGAGTTCCGCCCTGGGCCACACCTGTTCAAATTCAGCAACAGCAGCACATCTGAGAGGCTGTCCCCACCAGGATGGGTAAGGGTGAAGCCCTGAGGCCACCAGCCTCCCAGCCGAGCACCGTCTAGGAAGTACAGCTTTCTCAGAGAGGACATAGGTGAAGTGGAAAACTCCAAATCAGACAGAGACACTGGGGCCTCACCCATGGCTCTCAGCTGGGGTGTGTGACAGCCTGGAGAAGTAGGAGTTCAGCGCCACTTTGTACACGTGTATTTGATGGCGTTCTGGTCCCCAAGATTTTATTCAGCCTGGGGCTTCTACGTCTTTGGCCAAGCCTCAGGATCTGCCAAATGCAATTCTGTTAGGATCTTGGTACTTTTTCTAGTTTTGCCCTGTTGTTTGTGAGGTCTCAATAAGGCTGCCAGAAGCTCAGGCCCTGGACCCTCCTGGCCTACAGAACCTTAGCCACGGAGTCCGTGCCTTTCTTTCCGTCACTAATCTGGCCCCACGTCTGAGAATCAAAGATCAGACAGCAAGAAGCCATGAAGCCTCCAAGATGCTCATGCCCACCCTGCCCTCAAGCCCAGAGACGCAAGATCAGCACTGTGAACATTGCAGCATTGTGTACAGTGACCCATTGTGCTGTGGCACACGTGCAAGTGTGACACTTGGCATCCTCTCCTCGCTGTCTTCTCTGCTCTGCCTGCTCAGCCTCTCTTGGCTACTCGTAGGTTTGCCTGCCTTTCCGGTTCTTTGTCTTTGTTCTTACGTTAGGCCTATCCTGTGTCTGTAGTTCTGACTTCCCGGATCTGGGAATTTAAAGGAGAAATGTATTGTTACCTACACTGGATGCTTCTGCTGCTGCCCTAGGATCCCTCAAATCCTCATCCTCAGGAGAGGCTGAAGTAACAAGATTACCATCACTCAAGGTCGAAGGCTGAATTAGAAACTGTAGCAGAGGTTAAATGCCAGTCCAGTGACTGCACAGGGTTAAGAGCAGCCAGCTGTCATTGGAGACAGGGTGGCTTTTGTAAGAGAGAAGACAGACTGATCTTATAGGGGGAGTTTCACATCCAGGTCGGGGACCTGACTGAAGAGTTGAGCATTGTGACTTTAGGGACACAGCTGTCACAGAAAATATATTTTCCTTCTGTGAGCAGAAGGATTCACGAACCTGATGGTCATGCCCTGGTTTCAGTGCCCCAGAGCTCATCTGCCCGTCACAAATGGGAGTGGCCTTGACTTAGTGGGCACCCAACCCTGACAAGAGTGTGCGACCACTCTGTCTGCACATCTGAGCCATGAAAAGAAGCCAGGCTGATGCCTGCAGGACTAAAGGGGAACATCAGCCGCTGCTCTCCCCTCCACAGAAACCAAAGCCTAATTAAAACCAACCTGAGCACTAAAAATAGGATAGGGAGAGGAGGAGATGAGGCAGAAATGAAATCCGTTTCTGACCATAGTGGCGGGAAAGTCATGTCTCTTCCCTAGGTTGACAACAAAGTGGTTGGTTGTGCAACCTGTGGGCCTTAGCACCGTGCTTCTTATCTGGGTGGCAGTTAAACTGACAGCAGAGGTCTCCCCACAGTGGAGCTGAAATAGCCCAGACCCAGAGCCAGGTCTGGCGCAGGTTATGTACTTAGAAGGAACCAGCTCCTGCAACAGTTCCTGCAGTAGACCCTTCCCTGGCCAGATTAAGAGGTCCTGGAACTGAACATACATGGTACTGTGGGTATCATAGTGGCAGCAGTGACCACACACACACCTTGAGGATCCACTTTGTCCTCTGCTTTCCAGGGAGAATGGAAAGCTGAGTTAATAAGTTAAGTAGTTGGGGGCTCATCATACCTTTGGAAGATAAGGAAAGCTAGCCACCGGTGAAAAGCACTATCCTTGGTCAGAAATCTGGAGATATCTTTGAAAAGCAATGCTTATTGTGGTCGGGGTGCTTAGAGACAAGGTCTGTGCCCACTGGCCTGTCCTACCCACTCGACAAGGGGCCACGACTGTATATTGGAGGTTATTTGACCATACAGACCATCCATCCCTGGTCCTTCTCATGGATTCCAACATCCCAAGCTGAACTGAGGCTGCAGCTCTCCTGACTATTGGCTTCCTTCCCCTGAACATTCAGAAGATGGCAGTGCCTGCTGGAATGCATTTGATAATTGAGCTCTTGTAAGGTCCTGGGTTTCATTCCTCACACGCACCTCCTCCAAATCATAAGATTGAGAATTCCTGAAAGAGCTGGTTTTCATTTTTATGATGACTTCTTCTAAAACTTTTTAAATGACTTCTTTTAAAATTCTTTTACTTAAACATTTTAAATTACATGTATGCGTGTGGTGTAGAAGTATATGCAACCTCTCCTGTGGGCAGAGTTACAATGGCTGTGAGCGACCTGACATTGGTACTGGGAACCCAACCTGAGTCCTCTATAAGAACAAGAAGTGTTAGCCACTGAGCCGTCTCTTTAGACCCAGAATCACCTCCTGAATGTTACTACTCTGCCATCTCCTCCTCCTTATTCTCTTCTGCCACCCCCTCGTCTTCCTTCTGTCTTTAGCTCCCCTTCTTTCTCTTCCACTTCAAGTATCAAATTCCTTCAAAATGTTTACTCTGGGTTCTATTCTTATTTGTGGTTTTGAGAGGTATAGCATTTCTAGATATCCCAGTTTGGCTTTGAATTCATGATCCTCCTGCCTCTAACTCCCCGCTGTTAGGATACCTAGGTGTGTGCCACCATACCCACCCTTAAAACACTGTGGTGTCCTTGCTCACCTGACACCGTAAGGATGTCTTCCTTGCTGTTTGCTAACCTAGAGTTGACCTTGCCCTAGCTTTTTACACAGTGTCTAGCTATGGCCTGCATCCTTTGGTTACCAGGACCGAACTCAATCACCAAGATTAACTTCTCAGCTCAATGAAAAATTATGGATCTGGACCCAACTGTGTCTTAGAGCAATGCTGACTGAGGTTCTGGTCTAGATTCTGCCTGTCAGGCTGCCCCTGGACTATATCTCCTCATCTGTAAAGTGACTAGAAGATCTCTCTGTCCTTACCAACTACATCCTTGGTATCAGTTGGCTTCAGGCCCTGAACTCAATGATTACAGCCCCCTCATGAGTGCATCATTGACCTTCCTGTCTCAGGCTTGATTGTCCTGTAGGTGAAAGCTATGGTTAAGCTGGTGACCGCAGGCCGAGTAGCACCCTCCTCTGCAGATGGGGGAGCTGGCTTCAGCTGAGGAGAGAGAGCTTACCTGATGGGTGACCACTGGATGATTTTCACTTCTGTGAAACAGACCTCTGCTATTGCTTGGCCCAGAAGCCTGTCACATCTCAGAGCCACCAGTGTCACGAGCCGGTTGTGGAAAGTGGAAATGGGCAGGATGTGGTTTGAACTGACAAAAGTGGAGCAACTCACTCATCTCTGGGGGTTGTCAGGGATACTGGGGTTGGGGAGAGGCTGTGCTTACTGTGCAGCCAGCTGGCCATTCTCAGTCTAGGGCAGCCCAGCCACGTTCTTCCTACTAGGATGGTACCAACATGGACAACTATCACACACCCAACCACCAAGAGACAGCAGCAAAGTGACAGTGTTTCTCCTTTCAATAGAAAATCCTTTGTATCAAAATAGAGCTGTGTTCATAGTCATAGTTTTAGATAAAAATTTTAAATGGGACTATTGTTGTGAGCTTAGAAGGTGATAAGATTGTCTAGAGCAGAGCCATTGTGAGCATGCTAATCTCAGAAGTCAGGTGGGATAGGGCCTGACTAGCACTTGGATGGAAGGATGTAACAAAGGAAGCTTCAGAATCTCAAGACCTTTGATGCTTGGGCCAAAGCTATTAAATACTTCTTCTGGACTACAAACTCAGAAACAAAAGTCTGGTCCTCCACAGCCAGGCTGCACTATGCTATCACAACAGTCACTATAGCTGTGATTTGGACCTTCCTCTAAGGATCCAAGCCATGTGAGAGGCTTACCATGTGCCCCATAGCATGGCCTCTGGCCGGCCTATGGAGACAGCCAACAAGTAACAGATAAATGAGCAGTTGCTTTTAAACAATGTGAGCGGCCATGAGTCTACCAGCACACTGCTTGGTTTTTGTCAACTTGGCAAAATCTAGACACAGCAAGAAAGAGGAAATCATAGTTGAGAAAATGCTTCCATAAGATTGGCTTGTAGGCATTTTCCTAATTAATGATTGATGTGTGAGCCCAGCCCACTGGGAACAGGGTTACCCATGGTGGGTGAGCTCAAAATATATAAGAGGATAGGCTGAGCAAGCCATGGCGGCCAGGCAAGCAAGCAGTGTTCATGGACTCTGCTTCAGCTACTGCGTCTAGGTCCCTGCCTTGGGCTTCTGCCCTGACTTCCCTTCAAGCTGGTTTTCTCCTCCAGCTGTTTTTGGTCAGAAACATAACTAAGAGAAGCAGGCTAACTAAAAATTTAACTACTGAATTCTCTGGGCCATTACAAGTCTTGGGCCAGGGTAGGAGGGTGGGGGGAGTCTATCCTGCCTTTGTAAGCCTGTTGGATTAAAAGCTCTCTGCATGTCCTGCAAAAGAAGCAGGCTGGTGTGCAAAGACAGGAGGCGCACGATTAACTGCTGTCCACATTTCTTAGAACCACAGAGATGGCTGCACGTCATCCCTTTACATCCCAGAGCCACACCCATGGCTAAACACAGCTGCCCTGTGTAGCCTCTACCAGGACTGTCCTTGGCGTGCTTGTCATCATCTGATGTCTTTGTTGAGAAGAATAGCTCATACAAGGAACCATCCTAGTGTCCCAGCTGATTAGCTGGTTTTGCTGCGTCTTGGTAGGGTCCCTTCTGACCGATGTGGGAGAAGCCACATGGTACATCTGGGCCCCAGCATCCTCAGGTCTGAAAGCAAGGTGATGACCCAAAATACCTCATCATGGGTGGTCAGGGGAATGACATCATTGGTGAAACTGCTCACACAGAGCTGGGTATGGAGTAAGCACCCAAAAGAAGGCAGCTCATTTTTTAAGGCTCTTTCAACAGCATAATAGTCTTTAAATCATGCACTCTTATCCTGTTTTTTCCTGGCATAAACATGATCCTGCACAGCCAACTTTGTTTAATGTTTGCCTGGCTTCCTTCCCTCTGTTTTCTGTCTCTGGGGAGGACAGGAGAGGAAGGACATCCACTTTCACAAACACTCCTCTGAGTGCCTCGGTGTAACATGCAGCACTGCACTGAGCTGACTTTATTTTAGCATACATGAGAATTTAATGCGTAAAACAGTTTTTAACTGCACATCAGTGAGGAAGGGAAAGCCTCTCAAGAAATGGAACCGGTGTTATCTGGCTAGTTATTTAGGGAAATGTGAGTCTATAAAACAAACAAACAAAACCCAACATTTACCCTACAGTCAAAACTTCTAGATGGATCAGAAAGTACTGTGTTACATGCATAAGCTTCAGCACGAGGAGCTGTGTTTGGCCATGGGTGTGGCCTTGAATTTTTGGTGAACTGGGCTATCTAACCATAAGAGTAATAGAAATCACAGAGATCTGACCTCATAAAATTAAAGTGCATGAAAAATCACAAATGAATAAAATCAAAGGGCAAATTTCAACCTGGTTTCAACTTATTCCACTGGGTTCTCTATTGTTTTATTCACTTTAAAGAGTTCTGTGTGCAAGAAGGAACTAGCACTTTGGCTCTAGCAAATATCATATACCACCTCTCTACTTGTTTGTGGTATTATTTTTTGTCTCACAGAAGCTTGGAAGCTCTTTGCAGTTAAATTCCTAAGTCTAACAAATTAATTATAAGGTGACTTCACTGTGCATATATCTACACAGTCACCTTTAGTGTCACCTGAAACCCGAAGCTTGTTGGAGTAACAAACTGCACTGCAGAGCTGCAAGCAGTTTGTAGTCTTCCTGGAAGATTACACACAGGTTTAGATCTGTGTTCTGCTGCCTTAGACGGGGAGAAAGAGCTACTGACTGCTTTTGTCAGAATTTAGACAGACAAGCAGGCAGTTGTCAGTCTCACAGGCCTATCTGCTTTTTGAAGCAAGTGTTCATCTCCCCCTGCCAAATAACAAGTAACTACCATTCACTGAAGGCTGTCAGGGCCAGAACCAGAAGGCCGTCACACCCAGAAGCGGCCAGCTCTGTAGACTAGAAGCCCTGAGTGTTCAGAGATGTCTCCCTTCAGCGTCTTCTCCATCCTTGCAGCCAAGTCATCAATGTGCCCCCTTCTTGGATGGAACCCATTATGTTTAGCAAAGTTGGGCAAGTGGAAGTCTGTTACCCCCTCCCCCTGGAAAACAACACAGGACTGTGCCCCAACTGCTCCGGAGGCAGAGACAGCAAGATGGCTAATTCAAGACCTGCCTGCACTGCAGACAGAGTTCAAGGCCAGGCTGGACAGCTTAATGCAACCTTATCTCAAATTTTTCAAAAGTAAAACAGGGACTTGGGGATATAGTTCAGTGGTAGCATGCTTGCTTAGTGTGCATAAGTACCTAGGTTCAATTGCCAGTACAGAACATAGATAAATAAATATATCAA